GAATGCCCAATACCTGTGACAGGCTAGTAGATGGCACCATTGCTGCGGTAATTATGAAGGCAACGTGTGCATATATGCACCCATCCCAGGTAGTGATGAATTGCTTCAAAGAACCCCAGCATGCAGTCAATGCCATCCAAGCTTTGCTGGATAGTGATGTCTCCATGGCAGCTCTCTTAGTTGACCTATCAAAGGCCTTTGAACGAGTCAACCCGTACTGGATACTACACATCCTGCAGATGAGAAGTGCACCGACTTGGGTATGCAACTACGCCAAATACGTACTATTTGGAAGGCTAATTCGCCACAAAGTACAAGGCAGGCTATTACCACCCAGAGCTGTACATGTAGGAGTAGACATGGGCAGATCTTTTTCGGTCTTTCTTTTCTGCCTTGCTATGGATCCAATCTATCACTACTTGAATAGAATACCGCGGGTTTTAAGCGTACAGGGTTATATAGATGACAACACGATTGCTGGCCCTGGAAATGATATTGGATGGGTTCAGGATATCCAAACTTGTTATCAAGTGTGCCGTACAGCAGGATTCCAAATTGACCCTCATTCCTGCTGGCAAGCGGTCTGCTCTGATTGCCCCCCGTTCGATACCCAGGCAGTTACAGAAAGGAATGAGAGTCAAAGTCTCCTTCAACAGCCGTGTCATCCCACTGCCCTTTCAGCTATTCTAGCCGCTATTCTGCCACAAAAAACACTCATCTTGTCTAGAGCAGGAATGTGTATTTGCCTTACTCCGAGGGACGCCAGCCGAATACTGAATGGAATGGACTACTCCTCCATTAGCTCTCTCCTAGCGATTGAGTGTAAATGCAGGTGTAAGACTGCCCTCGTTGTTAATAGCCCACTCCCGAGTTGGGTTCTTCGTCAGCTAGACCAAGCTGGCTTCGGAGCCCACTGTGTACAAGGTGTAGCCACATCCCTCGGATTACTGCTACTCGGACGCTCGCAACTTGATGACAAAGACCTATGGAGAGTTACTACACATCCGCTGACGCTGAAACACATCAATCCGAAAGCTGCGGAGAAATTCGTACACAGATTACGTTTGTTTAGGCAACCTGTGTTATCCATTGTGTCAAGAAGCATTGCCTTCAATACCTTTGCTCAAAGTGTGGTCCTGTTTACAACCTCATACTTTGGTGCTGCCACTGAAGACCTGCAAATGCTAAGGGCTGCAGCTGCAGAACTTCTCCTTGGCCGAAGTTGGATACGGCATGATTTACTAGCCTATGTCCTTCGATGGAGCGGAATATCTCCACTCCTTGACCCTGGCCTGAGCATACTTGTATCTGCCTTAGGCCTTTTCTTACGTAAGGGAGGTGGACTTCACGAACTATATAGTGAATACCCCCCACCTGTCAATAGACAGACACACCAAGTTAGAGCCCTATGGCAGGCCTGGTCAAGGGTAGTAGGGGAAGAGTTATTAACAACGGCTGCTTCAAGTAACGGAACTGTTAAACAAAGAATCAATCAAGTCAAAACGCTTATTTTACGTCACATGATGCAAGTCGCGTCTAGTTATATTCATAACAAGGTACTAGCATCAGGGTGGACGGGTGGAATCAGCTGGTCCTGGCTTTCCCAAGCTTTTGCAGCCAGCAAGAGATGGATCCCAAGTATGGCTAGATTTACTTTGCTCCGGTGGGCTGTCAATGAAGATGATGACGATTGGCTAGCCCGGCGAGGAACAAGTAGAAGCAAAGGATGTGTCTACTGTTCCAACATACCGTTGCAAAACTGCCTTGATAGTTGGAAGAGCGCCCAGGATCACCCAGACATAGTTCGGTCCTTGATTCAAGAAGAACTTGACGCTGGATTCATCGCTCACGTTCCTGGTGGAGTCGCAGAACTTGAGCAGTTGTACTCCAAGACTGCCATCGGCAAGTTGGGCGTTGTCCTTGCCCCCGGTCGGTCTCCGCGCCTGGTTGTTGACAGCTCCATCAGTATGGTTACAGCCAATACAGTCCTGCCTAACCATATGCTGCTGCCACGTATATCCGATGTGATTCAATGTGCCCCTGAGGGTATGGCTGGTCAACAGATGACACAACTCACCCTTGACGTGGCAAAAGCACATCGCAGAATTTTAGTTCACCCAGATGATGGTGGCTTGCTATGTTTTCATGCCAATGGGGAACTTTACAGATGCATTACCCTCAACTTTGGGGCCCGTGCAAGCGGCTGGTACTGGGGCAGATTGGCGGGCATCATGGTACGTTCCTGCCACGCTTTGCTGGCCAATGGACATGCCCTGTGGCAGTATGTGGATGACCTTCTGGCCTGGTTGGACAAGTCCTCCTCTCCTCTTTGGGCGTCTTTGATCGTCGTATTACTGCTCATTTTGGGAGTGCCTATGTCATGGCACAAAGCAGCGCTCTCAGACACGGTCGACTGGATTGGATGGAGGATATCAGTCTCCTCCTGGACTATAGAAGTCCCTTTTGAGAAACTGGACCGTATCACTGCTCAGATTCGATCCATCCAACGATCCACACGCCTGACACTACGTGACTTGCAGTCGCTTGTGGGACGTCTGCTGTGGTTGACTTCAGCATGGCGGCATTTACGCCCACTCCTCATACCATTGTACAAGGCTCTGCATCGCATCCCTATAACTATGGTGGGAATGGACCATGTCACGTTTCAAGCTCTGACAGCACAGTTGGATGATCAATTACAACTGCTCACACAGTTGACCCACAAACACCAGTCACTCCGGAAAGGAGTTACTTTGTGTCGAGTGGCTAACGTGAATGTCCACACGTTGACTGATGTTGAGGCGGTACATCTGAAATCTCGTCGCGTTTGGGTGGGTATTTCCGACCCTACTATACCAAGCCGCAAACTGGATGATGAAGCAACCGAGACTTTGAACATATGGCTGCAATTGCTGATTTCCACGCCATTTTCACTGTCGATGTGCCCCCCAGCTTGGATACAAGTCAATGCTACAGCTGACGCTATGGCATCACAGTCTATGGCAGGATTGGGGGGAGCAGCCATCTTTCCTGACGGTTCCTCCACTTGGTTCCAGTTTCGCATTTCACTGGCTGAAACTCAATCGCTATGGCCCTGGTTAGGTGATGACATGCAAAAGCACATTGCGGCATGGGAACTCCTTGCACAATTTGCGCTTTCATTCTGCATTGAGTCCCACTTGCCTCGTACTCGTGGTCCAATCGCATGTCATCAAGCCACTGATAACAGTGCGGCTGATGCTGCCTCTGCCAAAGGTCTTACAATGACCCCTGCCTTGGCTGCAGTGCTGACTCCATATTTCAAATTTATAAGCCGATACCAAGTATATCCTCACATCACTCACATCCCTGGCAGACTGAATGTGCTGGCAGACGAATTGAGTCGGTTCAAAGACACACCTTCCATTGAACTAGATCCAGCCTCAAAGACGACTGTCCCATGGATGGAGTTGTTGCAGATATCCGGCATCGTGATCACTCAAGTTGGCCGAAAGTGGCCTTCTCATTTTGACATTCACCAGCGAGGAAAAGGTCTGCTGCAGTCCGCCGACTGGGTGCTTCCATCGATTTCTTTTTTGGGGGAGTTCTCACTCCGGCTGGTCGATGGTCGATTTGTTTGGTGTTTTTGGAACTCCCCACCTCTTTGGTTGACCCCAACATACCCCGGTGTTTGGGTTGTTGCCTGGTGTCAGTTTGAAGGGGGGGTTTGCATCTTAGGTCTTACTGTATTTAACTTGGACCCGCTGGTTCTAGGATATCGTGTGCAGATTGGACCTTTATCTGCACCACGCTTAAAATAGAATGCACCCGCGCAGCAGCCTTGACACTCATGTGTAGGATGTCCAATGTACTATATCATAGTAGGGAAACTGAAGCAACGGAAGCTGTAGTGTGAACGTGTCATGTACTTGTACATATGTGTTCATACTTTGGACCCGGAAACTTCAGTGTTTGGTCCGTGGCCATTTTGCTTCAAGTTTCCCTGATTCGTTTTCCCACCACCATCCCCATGCACCACCACTTCGTGGTCTTGGAGGTGGTGCTTTTGGAACTCCCCACCTCTTTGGTTGACCCCAACATACCCCGGTGTTTGGGGTTGTTGACTGGTGTCAGTTTAAAGGGGGGTTTGCATCTTAGGTCTTACGTCTTACTGTACTTAATTTGGACCCGCTGGTTCTAGGATATCGTGTGCAGATTGGACCTTTATCTGCACCACGCTTAAAATAGAATGCACCCGCGCAGCAGCCTTGACACTCATGTGTAGGATGTCCAATTAGGGAAACTGAAGCAACGGAAACTGTAGTGTGAACAGAAACAAAATGCTCAACGGAATCAGTAGGAGAAGGAGTAAGTCATCTAAATCATCAAAAAACCGTGCTGTAATGCTGTCTTTGAAGCTCTCACAATGAAACAGTTTCCCGGCCTCTAATGGCAGTGAAACAAATGTAAGAAACTTCCATTTTCACTTTGGTGCCTGCCACGGCTATATTATTTCATATTTCCTGTTGAGGGGGATAGGATCCAGAGATCTTTCGCTGACTTTCGTATCACTGGGTAACAAGATGAAATATATACTGTAAGCATTTGTAAGCGTTCTCATTCTGGTTTCTACAACAGGGTTCACCTCAGGAGATCTTTCTCCAAACCTGCCAACTTGTAAGATATCGCAAGATTGAAGTATGAAGTGAAACAGAAAAATCGGAAGATCGCAAAGCAATCATGATGCATGTGCTGCTACAGCAGGCTCTTTGTGCTTGAAAACGGATATCACAACTGCAGCTTTCAATTTTTCAAAACATTTTGTTTTCATCCAACTGCAAATCACCGCGGCATACGCTGACTAGTGACTAGTGGTTTGAGGTGGTTGCAAGACATAACCAAAAAGGGCAAACCGGCTTTTTCTTTCCCCTGATCGGGGTTTTGCACTTTTTGCTAGAAAAATCTGATATCAGTGAAAAATTACAGCCAATTACGGTACACAACCTGAGACATTCGTCACGATGTCAATGGCGCATGATTGGCGCCCATGCACATGGCGGGTAAATGACAAGCTGGAAACATGGATGCTTCTTGGTCGAGTATTTGAGATGGTCTGTTTAATGGATGTCAACATCCCTTTTGTCTCCTTCTCGCCTGCAGTTCTTGTTTGTCTTAAGGCATCTCGTCTGTCCAACTTTTGTTTCTCTCACAGACAAACAAAAGTTGGACAGACGGTTGTAGATGCCTTAAGACAAACAAGAACTGGCACAGCAGTTTGCTGAGCAGCTGGATTGCGAAAGGGGCTGCTGCCAGCCCACATGGCGGGGAAGTGGCAAACTGGAAACATGGATGCTTCTTGGCCGAGTATTTGATATGGTCTTTTCAATGGATGTCAACATCTCTTTGTCTCCTTCTCACCTGCTGTTCTTGTCTGTCTTGAGGCATTTGCAGCCAGCTGTGAAACTTTTGTTTCTCTCACAGCTGGCACAGCAACTTGCTGAGCAGCTGGATTGCGAAAGGGGCTGTTGCCAGCCACCAGTTTTTGAGGCCACCGCGCCTCTGTCAGACTCCCAGCTTCAGAAATTTCCTGTCCCAGACAAGTTGAAGTCCTTGTGTGTCACATTTCAATCATGTTCAGAAGGTGTTCAATGCCTCGACCAATGTTTGAAAGAGCGTGGAACTCAGGAAGTCTTGGAATTTTCAGATGGTTAGATGATATTAGATGTTACATCCTTGTCAAGTCAGTGATATAATGATTTCAATTTGCGGCCCTTTGCGGCCCGTTCACATGTGGGCAACATTGCCAAGAACAGTGAAAGGGCTACGACTCTCCGAAATTGCTCGACATTTTGACACCAGCCCCCTGCTGATGTCCACGCCATCGCGTGAGCCTGTTGTGTTGCATTCCTTGTCAGCGGGATCCTTCCCAATCAGGACCTTTGGCCAGTGGCTTCCACAGAGGAGGAGTCCGAGAAGGACAAGAACAGGCATTTGGCCGGTCAAGATCCAAACTGACACTTAGTGGCCATGTCTTTGTGAGAAAAATTGCCAAGTACCGACTCTCAGTCAAAGGCATATTGCGAAGACATTCTAAGACGATCTGTGACACAATTGTGAATCAAGCAGCCGGCTCATGCAGCGTAACTACTCCGTGTCTTCTGAACTCCTTTCCTTCCGTGCTCCACGGAGGCGACTCTCATTGGGTACGACGACTACGGGGGTGCCCGAAGAGGATGATGTGCTTTCCGAGTTTGATGTGGGGGAGGATATCAATAACGTTGATGATCATCCGGACGGAGACGGTGGCGTTGCACAGGCCATTTGCAGTGAATTCAAGGATCCAGTGTGTCGACTGTTGACTCTTCTGAAATTGTTGCACGTTTGACGAAACTCATGTGGGAGAGGTTAGGTTTGAGGTACAGCTTTGAAAAGCACCAGAGTTGGTGTTTCTGGTCAAGTGGGTGAGCTATCAAGGAGCCAGAGGGTTTGGTTGGACTAGGCGGCGAAGCCGCAGATATCCGGTGAAAGCAGTGATTCGGACGGCGAGTCCGAGGTGCTCAAACGGGGGGGATCCAAAAGAAAGAAGGTGACACCCCGGGTGTAAGCGAGAATTTTATTGCATGTTGTTTCAGGAAATGGAAGGCCAATTGAAAGATGTTTGGAATTTAGATAGAGGTACTCCCATGCATACTGAATTGAAGTTGAAGTCATGTCAGAGAGGTGCACAGTTGCAATCTAAATGCGAAGCTGGACAAGGGATACGGTTTTGGGACTTGGAAATGCGTGCAGCATCACTTGTCGGATCCTTGAGCACCAAGTATAAACATTTCCACTTTGTCCTTTGTTCTCAGAAACAAATGTTTTACCAATTCTTGACACCTAAGCACAGGTTGGCGCTAGCTCCCCTGTCTTGTGTGGACTGTGTCTTTGCGGGTGCCTTGGCCAGGTCAAGGAAGCGGAGTCCAGGTGCGGCTCGCAGCTGAGTCTGCTTGATGCATGAAAAAACACGCCTTCGCACCAGGTTTGAAGAGAACTCTTCAAACTTGAATGAGGCCACTCAATTGGCGCCTTCGTGTTGGTGAGCACATGTGTTTTGGTCGTGGGGGGGTTTAGTCCAATCTCTTTTCCGAATCAAGTCGCTTCACAATCTTGTGTCCTTCCAAGTTGAAATATATCGACCCCTGAGCCCCACCATGTATAGCATGTGCAGGTAGGTCTAGTGTAGGCAGAATGTAGCTATGAGTACCAACATAATTCGATGTAGCTACGAGTCCCAATTCAAACTCCAAATAGTTATTTCTGGCATATACTGTACAGAGTATTCCAACATACCTAGAAGCGTTAGGTATGTTCAATGCCTAGGGTTTATTCCAGGGTTTTAGTTGTCCCTTATCCAACAACCACCGGGTTCGGGTCATAACTAACCGCTGGTTGACGTCCGTGGCTCAAGCGCCCTGCTAGAAAAGGGAGTTTGGTTTTGTTTTTGATGACAGGGTTATCGAAGGATTACGTGGTTGTTTTTGGTAAGGTCCCCTCGAGGGCGTCGCGGAGTGTTGTCATTTTTTCATGTTTGCGTCACTGCCGAAGCATCCATGTCATCTCACGTGCTTCCTTGTTTTCGTGTACGTCGTTGCATGTTCCGCGCGTTTTGCTGCGTTTCTTGACGCTGTTGCGTTTATAGTTGCGTGTTGGCATGCCAGGGTTTGTTCGGGGGGGTGGGATGGGGTGGGGGGTGGGGGGGGTGGGGGGGTTGCGGGGGGATGATAACGTTCTTGTTTATTAACGTTCCTGCATGTGCGTTCTTGACACGCGGTTCATTTGTTTGTGCGTTGTTAGAATAGTTTTGAAAATAAAATGATCTCATGTCTTTCGTTTGGTTCAGACATTTTCGATACGTCTTTGTTGCTTATGTTCATGTCTTCGTGTCACAAGTGGAATGTTGCTTTGTTTCATGGCTTTCACCTTGGTTTTGCTTGTTCCGTTGTTCTGGCTCATGTCATAGTTACCATATAGCAGTACCTGGCTCATATTTATGTATATGCAGTGGCTCCACCTGCCAGACGACCTGACCCGTCACCTGGGAAATTAACAACATATGCAATATATATATATATATAATACATATATAGACACATATATATATGCAGTGGCTCCACCTGCCAGACGACCTGACCCGTCACCTGGGAAATATACAACATATACAATATATATATATATATAATACATATATAGACATATGTATATATATATATACATGCAGTGGTGATCTCAAGAAAAGAACGACTGTGTCTCACACCTGTCCAAAGCTTTGAAAGCAATGTATGCGCGATGAGGTTAAAAAAAGTTACTTCGGAGACCCCTCTTGGAAGATGCATTTTTAAAACATTCACGAAATGCAGGTTTTAAAGGCGTTGTGTGTTCAAAAACGCACGACGCCTAGGAGGGGACCTTCCCTTGTTTTTCCCCGTCGGTCCCTTGTTTTCACTGGTTATCAGCCGTAAGTGCATTTTTGGGGAAGTCTAATCCTTCGATAACTTCTGGTTTAGGCCCCTTTTATTTTTCGCACTTTCATCATTGACCGTGCATGCCCTCAGATAGTTCCGAGAGGGTCGCTGCTGATTACAGCGCGACGCCGGGAACACCAGTGGAAGGAGCCAACGCTCTAGGGGAAGCAGAAGGTGTCGAGGAGTTTAATCCACCAACTGCTGAACCGGGCGCCGCGGCCTCCCGAAACTGGGCGGATCTATCTGAGGATATTTTGTCGCCCGCGCCGCCTTTTGGTGAGGCACCCACTTCTGCAGATCGAGCCCAAGGACATCTGACAGACGTGAAGGAAGAGCTACATCAGGAGACATTAAGCTCGGGTGTTGTGCCTTCAACATTTTTCTTGCCTGACGGGGTCGCTGACGAAAACGTCGCGACGGATTTTGCAAACCAAGCTTTTGACCCTGCCACAGCATCGAACCTCCCCGAAGAAGTTCTTGCAGAGGCTGCCTTTACAGACTTAGGTCCAGTGGGGGAAGAAGGTCAGAACAGTCTTGCATTTCCGTCGATCCTGTCAGAACAAGCGCAAGTTGAAGCAGCCGACAATTTTTCAGTGGAGGTCGCTGGTGACAATACCGCGACGGACGAGGTTTCTGGTGAAATAACTTTCTCTGAAGTTTCTGGATTGGAAGGCGCCAATAACAGTCTGGAGCTTGTCAAACAGGAAGAAGATCAACAGACACTTGGTCCAGCCTCTACTGAAGTCGCCATTGAAGCTGCCCATCAAATCGAAGGTACTCCAACAAATAACTTAGGTGAAGACGCAGTTGTTGCAGCCGTTGTCAAAGCTGAAGTTGACCCCAAGAGTCCTGAAGCTGACACAGCCGAAGCTGTCGCATCCGTCCATCCTGAGACCCAAAACTCAGGTCTTAGTGTAGAGCCAGTTGCAGTAGGATCCCAAGAAGCATCCGAACCAGCCTGTGCATCCGCTAAGCCTGAGGTCGTTGACACAGCCGGTGTCGCGACTAAAACCCCAGGTGTAAGTGTAGACTCAGCCCCTTTAGGATCCCCCGAAGTTTCTAAGCCAAAAGCTGAATCCACAGAACCTGGGGTCGCTGACACTCCCGCTGTCGCGACATCCAATACACAACTAGACACATCTGTTTTTGTTGCGCCACCCACTAGTCCCAACTTAGTTGAGCCTGGTGTTGAACCCATTCGTACTGGTCACTCTCCCTCCGCTCCATCTGCAGGTCCAAAACAACGCACTCGACAGAGGAGTTCACGCGGTGGGCAGACCACAAGAAACCAGGAAGCCACCCGGGCCTGGTTTAGTGACCTAGATACTTTTAGGGATTGGTTGTATCAAAATACAGGTGGGAGGTCAGGCCGTGGTTTTTGGTTAGGCCGATATCCTTTGGACGGTGTTGACATTAACCAAAAGTGGCAAGTCGCTAATCATCAAGCCATAGCAGACTATCTGACCGTAACCCAGTGTTTAGTCCTTACGTTCAACTTGTGGCCTGAATACGAAAATTGGGCCCTTGCAAACGGCCTGGACAGGAGACGTGGTATTGGACACGGCCGTAACGCAGTTGAAAGGGGCGTACTACCCCCAAGGCGTATCATTAACTTGAACATTTTGGGTAGTGAATTCCCTCCTCAAGAAAGCTGGGATTACTATAATAGGTACGTAGGCCCGAACGCCCCTGCGAAGCCCAAAGCTCGGGCCGCTGCCCCGGCTTCGGCTGGTGGCGCGGCAGCTGCACAACCACCAGAGCCCAAAGAGCCGCCCAAAGCTGCATCGCCAAAGGCGCAGCAGCCGAAGGCACCAGCTTCTGGCTGGCAACCAACTTTGCGTGCTGCGGATCAAGTTGTACAGCAAGCCGAGTTTAGCAGTGTCCACACTTCATCATCCGTCCGTTCGTCGCCAAAGCAATCGCGAGGGGTCGTTGCTCCCAAAGAGCGCGACGCAACAGTAGTTTCATCTGAGGGTTCTGGTAGTGCTCCAACAATTGTAGCAGCCCCAAAAGTTCCCAAAGATAAACCTGTTGTTGTAAAGCCCTCGCCACCACCACCAAAGCAGCCGCAAGGGGTCGCTGTTCCCAAAGAACGCGACGCAACAGCCACTTCATCCGAGGGTTCCAGTAGTGCTCCAACAAGTGTAGTCACTCCGAAAGTTCCTAAGGTTGAGCCTGTTGCGAAGCCTTTGCAGCCGCCAAAACACCAGCAAGGGGTCGCTGTTCCCAAGGAACGCGACACGACAGTGACCGCAGCCAAAGCATCCGGTAGTGCTCCACCAAGTGCAGCCGTGCCTGAAGCTCCAAAAGCTGATCCTGTTGTAAATCCCTTGCCAGAATTAAGTAAACCCAAAGGGGTCGTTGTTCCCAAAGCACACGACACATCAGCCACTGCGCAAAAGGTTTTAGATACTACCCAGATAATTGAAGTAGTCCCTAAGATTCCCAGTAGTCCAGCTGTTGTAAACCCTTTGTCTAAAGCTAAGCTCCCATCACCCCCATCATCACCACCACCTGTAGTCCCTTCGAATACCCCACCGCCGCCACAACATCCGCCGCCAACACCAGAAGAGCTCGCCGCGCGAGCTCCGGCTTTTGCCAAGGCGCGCGAGACAGTGGTAGGGAATCAAGAGGAAGAGGAGGAGAGTTTTGAGGTTGAAAGTGAGGAGGAGCCAGCACCTGTTGCCAAAACTGCATCTCCACACCAAAAGAAATAGGTCCAACCCACCTTTGCCTGTTAATCTTTTGTCTAGAGAATTGCTCGTGAACTCCGTGCAGCTGGTTATCCAGACGCCAGAATAGATTCAGCAGGAACTTGGGTGCGGGTCGCCGGACCTTCGGTCGCGACAGCTGCAGAGCGTCCAGTTGCTCATCCTGTGGT